AAAGAATACAATACAAAACTATCAATCACACCAAGTACATATGACGATTCACAAAACACCACTAATACAACGCCTACTGCACCACAATTACAAACTATAAGTCGTAACCATCCATTATCTTTAATACCACGACCGATCCAAGACATAGTTTTCCACAAAGTCCAAGTACCCACATACTAACCCAGCAACCAAATATAGAAGAAACATACGAACAAATCATAGAGCAACCACAGACAATTTGGTTTTCGTTCTCAGAACAATCATCTTTTCAGCCCAAGATGAGCTGCCAGATTGAGTCGCTCCATCGTTCCATCCATTTTTTACCCAGCCAATCTTTAAAGCAACGTTCCCATCATTCTACTTTTTGCTTTCCACCCCTGAATAACCAATTTCTAACAACTCATCTAGCATGGATTTAGATGCTAACTCCACTACAACTATATATAACACTAGTTCCCAGTACCATACTTCAGACATCGAAACAACCGACGAACTTGCCGACTCAGAACCCAGCCCATCTACCTTTTCCCAGCCTCCCTTCCGACCTCTCCACTCCCAAATCAAAATTGAAGCTCCTTCCACTCCTTCATCCCACACATCACTATATATGTACATCTTCCCCTCTAACAAGTGACACGCCAGATAATAACAGCCCTGTAGATACCGAATTAGAAAGGGAATTAGATAATTTTATCACGCATCAACAACAATTACAGCATCCTCATACACTAACCATTCACCAACTCTCACAATCTATAACATCATCGATGTTCCCAAATCCAACACCTTCAACTGAAACCCGAGCCCATAGAACCTTTAAACGAAAATTTCCTAACACCCCATTTCCAACTAACCCTCAACCAGCTCAATCATTCGTAATACACCCACTTCACACTAGCATCAAAGAATTTGTTCAAATATAACTACCCTTCTTCCCACAATTAACCTATTTTCATTCAAACCCTAACAATGAACAACCTAATTATGTAAATGAATATGTACTATACTCCACACTATCATGGACATCCTTCTATCATTTTACTGATCCACTATCACTTACACTATATAATTTCCCCGAAGATAACGAGTATTGTCAAAAGCAACTTTACCATCTAACCGAAGCCCTCACCGAAAAACATTTCACTAACATCGGATACAACCAAATACTCACCAGATTTATTGCACCAAAATTTAAATATTCCATCGACCACTATGATCATTCTATCACACGAGCAAACGAAGACACCTTCTTAGACGACGAAAAAAACACTAAGCCTCAACTCACTAAGAAATGTTTCATTAAATCAAGATAAGTGTTCATTTTCAACAACCTAAATAAAAAATTCGACCACATCATCTCAATAGCACTTCGCGACATCCAAGCATACGAATCATACTTTAATAAATTTAACCATTTCTCACTAACCTTTCATTTCCTCGCACCCAAAGAACGTGATTTGCACTGTACACACAATATCTTGTTACAAACTAAACAAACACACACATACCCTTACTATAGATTTAAGCAACAACTTTATACAACTCACACACCGTCACGAAATGTACATCACAGATTTCAGTTTAATAACTCCAAATGCACCCCACCATTTTTTCTAAACTTCACTTATTGCATCAAAGATACTAACATGCAAGGCATCATCCATAAGTACGATCCCATCAGACAAACGTATATATTCTGCCCACTAACCAACATCTTCAATGTAGATAAATCCCGCCCACTTATTGTCCCACACGAATATCTACAGCCCGTCGAAATCCCAATTCTAGAATACGTTCACATTATTAAATATAATCACAAACTTTATAACCTCATCCAAAATACACCATATGAATTCTCACCCAGCACTGAAGAGTACATAATCATCAAAGCACTCGAAACCAAATACATCATTCGCGTATTAGCTAAACTAATAACATCATCAGATATCATCCACGACGTCTTCCCCATGGATTTTTAGCTGATGATTAAGGTATGTATGAAATAAATATTTTTTACTAACAAATTAGAACAACATTAACCATTCTTTAAAAATGTTTCACTTTTTCTTTAGCCTTCATCGCACAATCATCTGGAAACAAAGAAAAGGTAAATAAAACTCATAAACTCAAATTAACAAGTTGCAAATAAATAAAGCAGTAAAATTTACCCCCAAACAGTAGTAAAATGATAAATATATATACTTTCCAATGCAGTAAATTTTTTTAACAAGCAATAAATTGATAATTTCAGCTCCCCAAAAGCCATAAACTTGATATTTTATAGTGGTAATTTCATAAAGGTTGCAAATAAAATCAAAAGCAGCACTAACCTTTTTAGAGACGCTTCTTTATAATTTTAAACCATTCATTTGCCCACAATTCTATCCACAATCACACAGCTCGCCCACGAAGAATTGTTTGAAAACTGAATTTAAATTTTAACTCTCACCGATAACAACTCTAACCAGTTTTCTCACATTTCAAACTTTCCTTTAACCCGGTTGGAAAGGAATTATATAGTAAACCAAACTAACCAACGCAGCTTACTAACATCACAAACCTCATTGTCATGATAGCATGACTAAGAAATGAAAACCCACTGTACCCAAACCAGATTAAAGCCAGCTTAAAACTGGATAAATTATTCTTTTGAAGACAACTTTCAAGTCTTAACACAAAAGAATATAACAAAAAATGTCGCAAGACAAACCCAAAACAAACAATTTGATTTTTGAGAAAAGGACACAACCAAAACAAAAACGAAGAAAACGAATCATAAAAAGACAAAAAATGTTGAACATTAAAAGGGACCCTACACAAAGAGAACATAAAACTATACTCCAATCCTGGCCTAACCCACAAGAAGAGGACGTACTGAGCATGCTCTATAGCCGGCCTAACCCACCGTGCTACATCCACGCTTTGTGAACCCATCACTATTTTTGACAAGAGGTACTCAAGTGTGAGTAACTCTTAAAAATAACTGAACTAAAACTAAAACGCTTTTGCGAAAACAATTAATCTAAATCATTTTAACACGTTTCAAACTTTCTTTAATTCGGTTGGAAATGAATTATATAATAATCCAAACTAACCAACGCAGCTTACTAAACACCACAAGCCACAACCTAACAGCGTGACTAAGAAAAATGGCTTCATGAATAAATTATTCTTTTGAAGACTACTTTCAAGTCCAAACATAAACGAATAAAACACAGAAAAATCGAAAGACAAACCCAAACCAAACTATTTGGTTTTTGAGAAAAGGACACAAACAAAACAAAAAAGGAAAAAACAAGTAATAAAAAAGGCACAAAAGGTTGAACACAAAAACAACCCTACAAAAAAGAGATCATGAAATTATACTCCACTCCTAGCCTAACCCACCAGAGAGGTTGTCCAGAGCATGCTCTATAGCCGGCCTAACCCACCGTGCTACATCCACGCTTTGTGACCCACACTCCTAGTTTTGACAAGAGTTACTCAAGGGTGAGCGACTCTTAAAAATAACCGAGCTAAAATAAAAACGCTTTTGCGATAACCCTTAATATTAGATCATAACTAAAAACGAAACTAACAAAGATTTATAAATGTAAATAATAAAATGCAGTACATATAGATTTCGTAAAGCCCAAGGACGAGCAGCAAAGAAGTTGACAACCCAATCACACTCCAACTCCGGAATGGCAAATACACCCGATTTGCTGCCGACAGTCACTAACCTCAAAGGACTTAAAGTACGGACCCAGCATCGCAGCAAAGGAAACCCATTGAATCAGACCAATGGCCATCTCGATAATGACAACTAGTACAGATCCTCGTCACTCGGCTTTCCACGCGAAAAATCAAACTTCATGCAACACCTAACCTTGCTTGCAGTTTAACGAAACCAACATCTCACTGCACCGATCAAAAGTCTTGACACAATCTCCCAAGACTATCACGATCAACGAAACCCATTAAAGAATAAAAACATGACGATTTTTATCCGTCCAACACATGTGACAACACTTCTTCCTTCTCAAAGAAGTCAATGCTCGCAACTTCAGAAAGAAAACAACATCGCCCAACCTCCTCTACATTAAAAATTAAAAAACAAAAAACTATCTAAACCCCGGATGGGTGGAACCAGATCTAAACTAGAGTTTATAATTAGTTATTAATGTAATATTATATTTCTATAAAATATTCCAAACTAACCAATCATATTCCATCAACTAAAACCCACTTACTTAAAAGTGCTGGAACAACTTGTAGTTTCAGCACCAGAACAATCAGAATTAAATATAGAATACAGTTGCCTTCTCCAGAGAGACCGACTCGGATAAACCAGTATACAATAGATCTATTGAGACTAGGAGATATAAGAGTAAGATTAAGATTGGTACTAGACTAAGAAGTTGCACGAATCTATCCGGCCGAAAATAAGATGAACAGCGTGACGAACAGACGGTGTACCTCATTCTGAAATTACTCTATGAGTATAGCGATAAGGACTTAACTCAGTAGTCATACAATTGCCATATACAATTTCATTATAGAAGAACCCTACTCATGTCTTTCCCAGTGGAGTTCAAATATGACAATTGTATGACTAGCATTTTTTCATAGACAAAATTTATTCAATTGTATGACAAGCAATTTAAATGTATAGAGGTCACAACCCGGGCATGTCTTTGAGTTTGACACTTCGCGGTTATGAAACTATTAGGATGTGAAGAATCAAAAATTTGAGATGTCTTCTGGGTCAAGTGACTACACCTGAAAGTACATCTTCTATATTTTGAAAACCTCAATTTATTTGAATTAAGATAGTACATATTATTTAGTTAAAATGAGTACATTTGAAAGTAACATCTTCTATGATTTAAAAACGTCAATGAACTTAAGTAATTTTATTTCTAATTGAACTCGAATTTCTAACTTAAAAAAAATAATTAATTTAGTTTTTGAGCATATTCTATCTAGAAGCTTTAGTGAAACGTGAAAGTCTTACTCACTGACAACTAATGGGATGATGAATGCGAAATAGTTGATGGTATAGTAGACACTGCTGCTGGGTCTGTTGGACCACGTGATCTGCAACATCAGAATCGCCAGGCCGGAGTTAAACACGAAACTGGAGATGGAGAAGAAGTTGGTGAAGTAGGCCTGCACCTGTGGTAAAACAAAAAAATTTTCGGAATTTTTTGTTCCGACCATTGAAAATGGGAGAAACTTTGTATTCGGGAGTGTTTTAGTTTTTATTTTCTTTTTGTTTGACTCGCAAAATCAACTACCGCAAATAATCATCCGACAAAATTAATCATCCGACAAAATTAATCGGATATTTCCAAATTTCGAAAAAAATTTCACAGTGTCGAGAAAAACCGGTTTGAAAATTTATATTTTTGTCTAATTTCGAGCTATTTAGTAAGATATAATTTCGAGCTAATGAGCCGTGGAAGCTTACAAAAGCCTATTTAAGCTTAATTTAAGCCGTGAAATGATGGTTTTACTGAGTTTTTGGAGTTTTTTAGCGCAATTTTGGGAATCAAAAACTTGAAAAATGAAAAAAAAATTTCAAAAACTGTTTTCCAATTGACCTTTTAATGCGTTAAGACCTTTTGGTAATACTCATAGAGTAATTTCAGATTAGGTACATCGTCTGTTTGTCATGTTATCTTATTTTTGGCCGGATAGAGTCGTGCAACTTCTTGGTCTAATACCAATCTTAATCTTACTCTTATATCTCCTAGTCTCAATAGATCTAGTGTATGCTGGTTTATGCGAGTCGGTCTCTCTGGAGAAGGCAACTATATTCTAAGTTTATTTCAAATTGCTCTGGTGCTGAAACTACAAGTAGTTTCAGCACTTACAAATAAGTGGGTTGTTAGTTGATGGAGTATGATTGGATAGTATTCAATATTTTATAGAGATAAAATATCATAATAAAAACCAGTAATATAATTACATTTAGATCTGGTTCCATTAATATGACTCTCTGTTTTTTTTCGGTCAGATTTTTTCATCACAACATGCAGAAAAAAAACGACACCACTTTGAAGAAACAGTTTTGTATTTTTTTTAAGACTGTGGTCGGAACAATCTGTGCTACTTGCACAGTAACCGGCTATCCTTGTTAGTTTTTCTAACAAGTACGTATGGCATTTTGAGCGTCGAGTTCTTATTGGTGTTTCGGGATTTTTTATATGAGATTCTGTCCCATCCGGGAAATTTTTTAGGAAACTCCTTTCGGGAATTTTTTTTTATCCGGGTCTGATTACAGACATCGTATAGCAAATCTCAACAAGTAGCACAGAATGTTCCGACCATAGTCTTTAGAAAGATACGGTTTAAAAAATTTTCTGTACGTATACTCAACATCGAGATGGCCATTGGTCTGTTTCAATGGGTTTCCTTTGCTGCGATGCCAAGTCGTACTTTAGATCCTTTGAGTGTAGTGACTGTAGACAGCAAATCGGATGTATTTGCCATTCCGTAGTTGGAGTGTGATTGGGTTGTCAATTTCCTTGCTGCTCGACTTTGGGCTGTATGAAATCTATATACTGCATTGTGTTATTTACATATACAAAACTTTGTTAATTTTGTTTTTAGTTATGATCTTGTATTAATTGTTATCGCGAAAGAGTTTTTGTTTTAGTTCGGTTCTTTTTAAGAGCCACTCACCCTTGAGAAACTCTTGTCAAAAATAGAGTGTGGGTCACAAAGCATGGATGTAGCAAGGTGGGTTATGCCGGATATAGAGCATGCTCTGGACGTCCTCTCTTGTGGGTTAGGCTAGGAGTGAAGTGTAATTTCATGCTCTCTTTTTTGTAGGGTCGTTTTTGTGTTCAACCTTTTGTGCCTTTTTCATCACTTGTTTTTTCCTTTTTTGTTTTGTTTGTGTTTTTCTCAAAAACCAAATAGTTTGGTTTGGGTTTGTCTTTCGACTTTTCTGTGTTTTATTCGTTTATGTTTGGACTTGAAAGTAGTCTTCAAAAGAATAATTTATCCATGAAGCCATTTTTCTTGGTCACGCTGTTAGGTTGTGGCTTGTGGTGTTTAGTAGGCTGCGTTGGTTAGTTTGGATTATTATATAATTCATTTCCAACCGAATTAAAGAAAGTTTGAAACATGTTAAAATTAGTTAGAGTTGTTATCAGTGAAAGTTAAAACTTGAATTTGTTAGTTTAAACAATTCTTCGTGGGCGAGATGTGCGATTGTGGATAGGGTTGAGGGCGAGTAAATGATTTCAAAATTATAAAGAAACGTCTTTGAAATGGTTAGTATTGCTTTGAATTTATTTGCAACTTTTAGAAGCTTACTACTTTTAAAATATTAATTTTACGGCTTTTGAGGAGTTGAAAAAAATAAATTATTTGCTTTTTAAGAATATTTACTGCATATGAGAGAATAATTTAAATATCAGTTTCCTGCTGTTTGGGGGTAAAATTACTGCTTTATTTATTGCAATTTGTTATTAAAATTTATGATTTTTAGAAAAAAAATTTCAGTTTCTTATTTCGTTTTTCTTTTTTTTGTAGATGTTTGTGATGTGAAGACTAGAGAAATAGGAAAAACATTTATATAGAAAGGTTAGTTTTTGTACGAATTCGTTAGTATAACTTCTTTAATTCATATAACCTTATTCATCTGGGAAGAATCCATGGGGATATACGTCGTGAAAGATTTCTGATGATGTTAGTGGTTTAGCTATCAAGCGAATGATGTATTTAGTTTGGAGAAGTGGCCGAAGCAATTCGAGTGTTTTTATGATTTTGTGCTCTTCGGTGCTAGGTGAGAATTCATATGGTGTTTTTTGGATGAGGTTATAAAGTTTGTGGTTATTTCTGGTGTTATGGATGAATTCTAGGATTGGGATTTCGACGGGCTCTAGGAATTTTTATGGGATTATTAGTGGACGGGATTCGTCTATGTTGAAGTTATTGGTCATGGGGGCAGAAATTATACATCTGGGTAATGGAATCATAATTTCTGAGGATGCCTTGGAGGTTAGTATCTTTAATACATTAAGTGAAGTTAAGAAAGAATGGTGAGGTATATTTGGGGTTAATGTATTGATATCTATGGTGAAACTGTCGTGCTCGTGTGTTATAAGTATAATGATGTTGAATGAACTTATAATAAGTGTAAGTATGCGTTTGTTTAGTTCGTAGCATGACGTCGTGTGAACAGTGCAAATCACGTTCTTTGGGTGTCAGGAAATGAAAGGTTAGTGAAAAATTGTAATATTTGTTAAAGTAGGAGTCATAAGCTTGGATGTTACGGAGTGCTGCGGAAATGAAGTGGCCGTACTTTTAATCTAGTTTATTGAGGGTGAAAACGTATGATGTTTTAATGGAAAATTTTTCTGTTAGTTGTGGGTTAGCAAATTGATCATCATTTAAGAAGATGTCTTCATTTGGTCTGATGATGTGGTGATCGTAGTGAACTATGGAAAACTCGATAGCATTAGGTGCGGTGAATCTGGTAAGTGCCTGTTGATATCCGATTTGAGTAAATTGTTTCGGAGTGAGAGCTGTTGTTAGATGATAGGGTTGAGTGCTGCATTGTTCAATATCATATGGGTTGTTTTTTAGTGGTAGTGACAGTGGGTTAGTAAAGTGATAAAATGATGTCCTTGAAAGTGTTGGGTGTAATACGTGTTCACTTACATAATTAGGATGTTCATCGTTAGAGTCTGAATGAAAGTAGGTGTATTGAGGGAAAAAAGGGCAAACATACTGAAGAATTTCTTTGGTGTTAGTGTGAAGTGGATGATTAACGAATGATTGGGCTGATTTTAAGTGAGATGGAAATAGGATATTAGGGAATTTCCTTTTAAAAGTTCTATAGGCTCGGTTTGCACTTGAGGGAGTTGAGTTTGACGAAGAAGTTGGGTTTGGCGAAGGAGTTGGGGTTGATGGATTTGATGATGTTATGGATTGTGAGAGTTGGTGAATTGTTAATGTTTGAGGGTGCTGTAATTGTTGCTAAAGTGTGACAAAATTATCAAGTTCGTTAGATATTTGTATGTTTACAGAACTGTTGTTATCGGAAGGTTCACTGGTCAAGGGGGAATATGTGGGTAATACATTGGTAATAGAAGAGGGAGTGGAAGGAGGTTCAATGCTGATTCGGGAGTGAAGTTGTTGAAAAGGGGGTTGAGAAAGTGTAGATAGGCTAGGTTCGGAGTTGTCATTTTCGTCAGGGGTTTCGAGATCTGAGTTATTAAGTTGGGAAATGGTGTTATATACAGTCGTGTTTGAATTAGTATCTGAATCCATGCTGGATGAAGTGTTAGTATGAGGTAATTCAGGTGGAAGTAAAGCAAAAAGTGTTATGACGGGGAGGTTGCTTTGAAGGTTGGCTGGGTAGGAAATTGAGCGATGGAGTGATCCAACTTGGCAGTTCATTTTGGGCTAAAAAGATGGTTGTTCCGAGAACGAAAGTTTGTGGTGTGTGGTTTTTCTATGATTTGTTCAAATGTGTCTTCGATTAGAGATTGTTGGGTTATTATGTGTTGAATCGGGCTTTGTGGGTAATTAGACCTTGAAGAGATGTGTTCTGTCAGGGCTATTTTTCTGAAAATTCGTGGTACTAAGGACAAAGTTTGGTTATGATTTAGGGTTTGTAATTGTGGTGCAGTAGGCGTTGTGTTTGTCTTGTTTTGTGAATTGTCATATGTGTTCGGTGTTGTTTATAGTTTGATATTGTATTGTTTTATTTGAGCGTCCAAAAGTATTTTATTAATGGATGTGGAGAAAATTCCAAAAAATCCTGCAAAAAGTATGCGTGCTACGCTTGCTTGTTTGTTTACTTGTGTATGTGTTGCGCATGTATTGTAAATTACTTTTGGTAAAGAAAAAGAAATCCAAAAAAATTAAACATTGCGTAAAATATAGTCAATCTTTCTAAGATGTAATAGGGCCATCCTAGAAAGGCAAATATATCTTGTGGTCTGTATTTTTCGCCATTTAAATAAATGTTATCTTTTATGTCTTTAAAATTTCCGCTTTAGTCTTGTGCGTAGATGTCTGAAAAGCCTGCTGTTTCTGCAAGTTTTCGTAAGCTTTGATCTATGGATTGTCGTTGTATTGTGTCCATTTATGTGAGTAGTTCTTGAAACTGTTGTGTACGGACGTGGTGTTGATTGCCGGATTGTTGAATGCCG